CCGAATGTCCCCCCCCCCCCCCCCCCCCAGACGTCCCCCCCCAACTCCCCGCTCCCACCCCAGGGCCTCCCCTCTCCTGAGGGGACTTCCTATCGAATAGTACGTTCATTCAGTCAGTACCCAGGAGTGAATTGTTAGGTCGGAGGGAAGGTGTGTGATGGGGCCCGTGAGACCCACCTAAACCTTTCTCCACAGTGGCTGTGGGGAACACGGGTCCCCTGTATCCTCACGACGCTTCCACGTGATTAGTCTTTTTAATTTTAGCCCTTCTGGTGGGTGTGTAGTGGTGTCTCATTGTGCGTTTCATTTGCATTTTGCTGATGACTAATGCTGATGAATAAGTTTTCTTGTGTTATTTGGCAACTGGTAGATTTTCTCGTTTCTTTGAGCGGTAGGTTACAAGTAAGTCGTGCATACGAGTCCTTGGCCACTTACTTTTTACAAATATTTCCCCCATTGCTTGTCTTGTTGGTTCATTTTTTTTTTTAGCACTGTTTTGATGAGCAGTTTTTTTTATTTTGATGAAGGTTAATTTGTAAGTTTGTGTTTTCTATGGTTGTTTCTTTTGCGTCCTATCTGAAAATCTTCGTCTCTCCCTGACAGCAAAGATACTCCCTCATTTTCTATAGTTTCAACCCTTGTTTTGGGGTCTGTGATTTACGTGGAATTAACTCTTGTACATAAGATGGAGTTGAGGCTCGTTTTAATCCGTCGGGATATCCGGTTCCGCACCATTTGTTGGGAGAACTTTCCTCTGCCTATTGAATTGCTTTGGCACCTGCCAAAAATCAATTGACCAGATAAGTGTGGATCTATTTCTGGACGCTGTTTGTGTCCTGGATGTATTGATTCATTCATGCCACCACCACACTGTCGCTCTATAGTAAGTCTTAAAGTTCAGGTAGCGTAAGCTTTCTGGCCTTGTTCCCTTTCATGTTATTTGACTGTAAGGTCTTTTCATTCCCATATAAATTTAGGATCAGCCTGTCAGTATTTACAAAAAGCCTAGAGGCATTTTGGGTAGGACAGCGTCGAATGTATTTCTGGATAGATGATACCTTGGATCTCCCATCCAGGAACTTGGGTGAATCTCTGACTTTCTTCAGTTCTGTTTCAGTTTTCAGTGTTGGAGGTCTTGAACATCTTCTGTTGAGTTTATTCCTAAGTAGTTGATGTTGTTTGGATGATGCTGTAAATGGCATTGATTTTTTTTTTTTTTAAGTGTAATTTATTTCTTATGTTTGGTGTTCCTATAGATAATACAGTTGATTTTTGTGTGTGGACCTTGTTGTAGGCACTTTGCTGAATACGCTCTTTAGTTTTACTAGTTTCTGTTGATTTCTTAGAATTTCTAAGATTTTTTTTTTTTTTTTTTT